ACATTTGATTGATCAAGAGGAATAGAGGTTTGTAAAACCTTTGGTTGATTAAATCACTTCAATTAATGTTGGTACTGAGAAGGATCCGCGTCTTGTCCAGATCGGGTCCACGTTGTCTTCGGAAGAACACGAGCGTTTAGTCACTTTTTTTTAAAAGACTTAAAAGATGTTTTCACGTGGTCCTAGGAAGACATGCCTGGAATCGATCCTGAGATTGTACAGCACCGAATCCCTTTTGACCCTGAGGCCCGACCCGTTAAGCAGAAGCTTCGGAGAATACGCCCGGATTGGGCCCTGAAAATCAAAGAAGAGGTCACCAAGCAGATAGATGCAGGGTTCTTGCTAGTATCAGAATATCCTACTTGGTTAGCCAACATTGTTCCGGTGCCGAAAAAAGATGGCAGAATTCGGGTGTGTGTGGATTTCAGAGATTTGAACAAAGCTAGTCCGAAGGATGACTTTCCGATACCGTAGGGCATGTGCTGCTCTCCTTTATGAATGGGTTTTTTGGGTACAACCAGATCTTGATGGCACCTAAGGATAGGGAGAAGATTGCCTTCACCACGCCGTAGGGAACCTACTGCTACAGGGTGATGCCGTTCGGTCTGAAGAATGCTGGGGCTACTTATCAACGGGCTGTAACTACTATCTTGCATGATATGATCCACAAAAAGGTTGAGGTATATGTGGACGACATGATTGTTAAGTCTAAGGAAAGAGAGGGCCACTACACTGCCTTGAAGAAATTTTTCCAACGAATCAGAGAATATCGGTTGTGACTGAATCCTTAGAAATGTACTTTTGGTGTCACAGTAGGGAAAATGCTGCGGTTCTTGATTACACAAAGGGGCATCGAAGTCGATCCTTCCAAGATTAAGGTCATCTTAGAAATGCCACCACCAAGGACTGAAAAGGAGGTGCGAGGCTTTCTGGGTAAAGTGTAATTCATAAGACGGTTTATTGCCAAATTAACCTTAACTTGTGAACCACTATTTGGTCTCCTGAAGAAATGAAAGAAATTCCAATTGGATGACCAATGCCAAGTTGCTTTTGAGCAGATCAAGCAGTATTTATAGAACCCACCCGCGTTGTTATCGCCAGAGCCGGGGAAACCATTGATTTTGTATCTGTCAGTAACCAACACGATTATGGGCTGCATGCTTGCGCAAGAATCTAAGGATAAAGTGGAGAAGGCCATCTATTACCTAAGTAAGAAGATGCTAGAATATGAGACCCATTACACTCCGCTCGAGAAGACTTGTTTGGCCTTGGTATAGGCTACCAGGAAGTTGAGGCACTACCTGTTAGCTCACTCCGTAATTTTGGTTTTGAGATTGGATCCCATCAAATATCTCTTCGATAAACCAGCACTTACGGGTAGGCTAACCCGTTGGTTGCTTCTTCTCTCCGAATTTGATTTGAAGTTTATGACTCACAAGTTTGTGAAAGGGAGAGCGGTAGCGGAGTTCCTAGCCGATCACCCAGTGAAGAGAGACGAAGCAGTAGAGTATTTGTTCCCAGATAAGGCTATTTTGCCGGTCAAAGAAGAGATTTGGTCTATGTATTTTGACGGAGCGTCTAACCAGTACGGGTATGGGATAGGGGTGTTGCTGATAGCGCCTGACAATTCTCACATACCCTTAGCTTTCAAACTTCGGTTTAAGGTGTCAAATAACCAGGCAGAATACGAGGCATGTATCGCTGGCTTGGAAGCTGCCCTAGAACTAGGGGCAAAATGGTTGGACATCATTGGGGACTCAAACCTAGTTGTGTCTCAAGCGAAAGGAGACTGGAAGGTTAAAGAAGAAATGATGAAAATCTATCACCAAACCCTGGACGTTTTAATTCCTAAGTTTGAGAAGTTAACATTCACACATCTGTTAAGAGAGAGCAACAGGTTCGCTGACGCTTTATTAACTCTATCTTCCATGATGGACATCCCTTTGGGAGTCCGAATGCGTCCAATCATTATTGCACAGAGGTATGTGCCGGCTTATGAGTTAATCGCCGCAACAGATGAAGTACAAGATCAGAACTCCTGGTATCATGACATCTGGAACTTCGTAGAAAATAAGGCTTATCCACTAGGGGCAAATACCAAAGATAAGAGGGCAATACGGCAAATGGCTGCTCAGTTTATCATCAGCGGGGGTAAATTGTACAAACGGGGCCATCTGAGAATGCATAAACAGTGTGTTGATGAAGAAGAATCGAAGCGCTTAATAGAGGCCATCCACGGAGGAGAATGTGGTTCGCACATGAGCGGAGTGATGCTCGCTCGGAAGATTCTCAGACAGGATTACTACTGGTCAACCGTGAAGGAGGATCGTATTGGTTTTGTTCGACGATGCCACAAATGCCAAATCCATGCAAATTGCATGAATATCCCGCCATCGAAGCTGTATAACATGGCTTCATCGTGGCCATTTTCAGTCTGGAAAATTGATGTTATTGGGCCGTTACTCCGAAGGGGTCAAACGGGCATGAGTACATCCTGGTGGCGATAGACTACTTTACAAAGTGGGTCGAGGCCCAATCTTACGCAGTGCTGAAAGCGTCGCACGTAGCCAAGTTCATCAGGAATAACATTATCTGTCGGTATAGGGTCCCGAATGAGATCATCTCGGATAATGGTTCCCACTTCAAGAAGGAAGTGATCGACTTGTTGGAAAAATACAACGTGACTTTTCATAAGTCATCCACATATTGGCTGTAAACCAACGGAGCTATTGAGGCCGCCAACAATAACATCAAGCACATTCTACAGAAGATGGTGGAAACCTACAGGGACTGGCTAGATAAGCTGTCATTTGCTCTTTGGGACTACAGAACATCAATTTGGACTTCTACTGGGGCAACTCCAAACTCTCTGGTTTATGGGATGGAGGCTTTTTTGCCGATTGAAGTTGGGGTTCCGTCACTGCGAGTTATGGCTGAGTGCTAGATAGCAGAAGCCGATTGACAATAGAGCAGGTTCGAGGAACTTATGTTGTTCGATGAGAGGAGGCTGAAAGCACTACACCACGTCCAAGGTTATCAACGTAGGATTGCCAAGGCTTTCAACAAGAAAGTTAAGTCCAAGAATCTGAAAAAAGGGGATTTGGTGCTTAAACACAACCGAGCTCCCATCCACGACCTTAGGGGCAAGTTCAGACCTAATTGGACTGGTCCTTACATTATCAAATCAATTTGGTCGGGTGGAGCTTTCATTCTTATGGACTAGATGGCCTCGAATTCTCCTAACTGATCAACATGGACAAGTTGAAGAAATACTACCCTTGAGAGACTCGCTAGGCTAAAAACCCGAAAGGGCGACCTAGGCAAAAGTTGGAGCACAAAAAAATTGAAATAAGAAAAACTGAGCTCGCAAAGTTGAAAACCCAGAAAGAGCGGCCTTGGCAAAAGTTAGAGCGCAAAAGAAGAGTGTTAATACCAAAGGGAACCCGAACCGAACTACGTAAGGCACGATTCCCATCTTTGGGATACATAGGCAACTTCCAAATCAACTGTGTCCATGTAATTGTTTTGGTCATCTTTGTCTTTTCTGCATCCAAGAGTTCGGTTGTGATCTTCAGTGCAGCGCTATTCAGACAAGGGGCAACTTTCCAGTTTGGGGTTGTACATCTCAGCGGTAGATTCTGGGTGTGTCCAATTGTGATCCTTATCGAAAATGGTTTTGAAAAGTTTTAATAAAAGTTGATTTTGTTCAAATTAATCTTTTTTCAACTTAGACCATTTTTGGACCAAAAGGAAAATTTTCAGTACCCACAACCTTCAATTTCATTGATTTCAGTACAAAGTTCTACGACTCTTGATACAAATTGAAGTTGCTTTTATTACATTCAAAATGAAAACTTGAAAGTATAGATTAAAGCAATAAACTTGGGGCATCGATAAGTCAGGTGTTCCTGCGTCCCCTCTTAGAGCTTATGGAAGCTTCAGATGCCAAAGTAGGCCCGGTTTGTGCCTCATCTTCATGCCAAAGATCAAGCATCGTGTAAAGTGAGCCCACACATCCTTCCTAAAGCCTGGATGTGGCCAAAACGGAACTAGGACAAGATCTTCTCGCCGCGCCGGGATTCCATCAAAGCATGGAATTCTCGATTGTAGGGCATATCTCTTGTCCCCCAAAGCTAAAAACATGTGTAACTTCTTCAATTGTGGGGCATATCTCTTGTCCCCCAAAGCTAAAAACATGTGTAACCGGATTCCAACATCTAGCCGCGGCATGGAAGAATGGAAAACATAGTGGAGTGTGGCTTAGCGGGAATAGTACATTTATCCCGAAACCCCAGAAATTTAACTTTTTCGAGCCATCTAAAGTTGCAATCCAATTTGAGAGTTTTTGGGCAAAGAATGGCTCCATTTGGGCCAAAAATAGAGCTGGAATAAAGAAACCATGAAGCTAGAGCTTTTGTAGAAGATAAAGCAGTAAGTGGAGGCCAGGTGTCAACGTTTCGGAGGTTCTGCTCATTAATGGCCGACAGGGGCTCATCATTGGCCGGCAGGGGCACATTGATGGCCAGCAGAAGGGAAATGATGGCCGGCAGGCTATCTTCCATGGTCGGCAGCCTCTCTTTCAGGCTCACTGACATCCTTTGTGAAGATTCAGTTGTTTTCAGCAATTGTATTCTGTTATTAGTATCTTTTGAGGTCTTGTTTGGGTCCTTTTGGATTTAAGTATGTTTTGTTTAAGTCGTAATCGTCTTCGTTTTGTTTACCGAGTTGTATTTATGTTGTTTACCGAGTTAATGCAATTTGCTTACCGAGTTGTATTTACATTTGATTAGCCTGTCAAGGCCTTGTGTTGTTTATCAAGTTTTTTTTTTTTTTTTTTTCAGTTGTTAGTTGGTTCACTACCCGATTAAGACAATGCAATTGGAATGTGCAGTTTTCAACAAAAGATGATCAATCTCATTTTCATGTTGTGTGATGTTATGTGATACTCAGAATATAAAATGCAATACTTTTTAATAAAAAAATTGAGTTTTCATTCCAATCATAGTCACTTTTTGCAAAAGAGTACAAGTTTTAAGCAAATAAAATTGCCTAAGGCAGTACAATGTGCTAACACTACTAGCAAAAAGAAAACAAAGCAAAAAGCATCTAAATCGGCACCAGTCGCCTCAAGCTCGAGAGGCTCTATTTGTCCTCTTCCTCTGTGGAGTGGACTCTAAAGCATTATCTCCATCGGCACCACTGTCTGAATCTGAATCAGAGCCTGAACCGGAACCCTCCTCAGCCTCTCCAGCCTCACTACTGGCAAAATCCGAGCCGGCGTCATCGTCTCTACCCTCAGATGACTCTGACTGTGGACTTCCTACCTCATCCTCATCCTCATCCTCCTCGCTCGTCTCGTCATCATCATTGCCCTGAATGGGCTCTGAAAGGCCACTCTCGCAGCGGGTACCCCTAACCCTGCCTCGGCTACATGTCAGAATCTGTCTCCCTCTCATCCCTGCCGCTGGAGGAGGTACTGAAGGTCCTGCTGTGGCTCCGACTGGGGCATCCGGTGGAGCTGAGGTCTGGAAAGGGATCTGAAAAGGGCAGTTTGTCAGAATACATTAGTTGTGGTGCATATCAAATGGTGTATATTAGATGCAGTGTATCGATGCAGTGTATGTGTGCAGTGTATGGGAGCAACGTATCTATGCAGTGTTTTAATGTAATGAATCAGATCAGCGTAGTGTGGAACAGTTAAAATACTAATGTATTAGCAGAGAATTTCATGGCATGAAGTGCAAATTAAAGGAAATTACCGGAATCTTGTAGAGGCTGAGCAGGTTCATGCTCGTCTGAACCATCCCCATCAGAGAAGCCGCTAGCTTGAGGGCCTGCCCGGTGTACTCTATGGATGCCTATAAATGTGTTGAGATGATCAGTGGTCTATAAAGCATAATCGAAATGAATTGAATGTGCAAAATGTAAAGTATGGAACATACCAGGGTCGAGCCTCGAACTCCAACAAGCTCATGACCAGCTGGTGTGGGCTCAATGGGAATCTGATAGGTCTCTCCAGAACGTCCCCAGCATGTCAGTGAAGTAGGTAGCTCTAGCCATCCTACTCTCTGTCTCTCCCCAGAATCTCTCCTGCCACGGGACCTGGTCGCTCTGTCCCCTCTACCTCTCTCTCTCTCTCTCTCGCATATGGAGCTCTCGCTCCCTCACCTCCACAAACGCCAGTTAGAGGCGGCATCAGATATGTCTGGATGAAGGTCACATAGTCGCTCTCCATACGGAAGTAATCCGCCTCCAACCTTACCATGAACTGGATCACCTCCTCAGTAGAAAGTTTGTGCGTCTCTCTCATGGAAATTAGAGGTGCCATTGGTATGAATGGGGTAGGCAGTCCTAAAGTCTGTCATGTGAAACGCTCGCTCAAGAACCAGGTGCGATAGATCGGGTCCTCAAGAAGGATATGATATCGAGTCATGACCCTAGCTATGTCATACTGGGCTCAAAGCCCCGACGGTATCCCATCCCACAGCTACCATGTGATCTGAAAATAAGAGAATGAACAGATGATTAGTCACCGTCAGTTGATTAATGGATGTATCAAGTTGATTGAAAAGTAGAATAACTTTGTTTTGGGTTACCTCGTGCTTCGCAACCACGTCAAAGTACTCGCAGAAAAACATGAAGTTTTCCCAAGTCCTACGGCGGAGCTGGCAATCGTATACCCGAGAAAATGGGACTGTCACTAGAGTCTCCTCTATAGGCTCTGGAGCAAGAGCCGGGAAGTATGCGTACACCCACAGTTGCAAGGAAAATGTGATCAATACAGTGTATGAGCAGATACAGAAAATGTAAGGCAGAAGGCATATAGTGTATAAGCAGATACAAAAAATGCAGAGCAGAAAGTACATTGTGTTGAACAAATGTAAAGCAAGAAATGCTAAGCAGAAGATGTAAAGCGAATAGGGGAAACTAGCTATGTACCTCTCAAGCCCGCCAGTAGCGGCCGATCAAGCTCCCATTCATGCGAGAAGTCGAGCTCATGTATCCATACAAAGTGGGGAGGCCAGCTCCACCCCAGTCGTAGAACTGAACTCAATAGAGTACTACCAAGGCGCTCAATAGATACAGGCCTACGGTATTCCACCTGTTCGAAAACAAGGTGGTACCGAAAAGGAACATGAGGAAGCCCCTGGCTTACTGCTCTGTCTCCTCGACTGTCTCGGGCTCAGACCCCCTATACTGCTCCTCGAACTAGCTATATTGGACCATGTCCGCCCGGAGTGTCGATGGGTGTACCCCAAGTAATGCGGCCCACGCTGCCTCTCACTCTCCCATATCAGGGTCGAGAGGGATCAGATCACCCCCTATGCCTAAGCCGGTGATCATAACGAAGTCGTAAGGAGTCATCGTCATCTCCCCTGTGGTGGAGAAATGGAAGGAGTTGGTGGTGTCCCACCACCTCTCCATTAAAGTCCCTAAGAGGGGACGGCTCGCTACGACCCGTGTCAGGCTAGAGCATAATAGACCAAAGCCTGTCTCGTCAATAATGTTGCGAACCCTAGCTGGGAGCTCGCGGACCAGTCTAGAGCTGTCGTCGTACCGTAGCCTTTGAAAGAGTGAGACCCGTCCTGCAGTAATGCATGAGATGCAATCAGATCAAGCAATGAAAGTATAGTTGAATACAAAGCAATAATGTATGAGATACAGTCAGATCAAGGCAGTCTATGTAATCAGATCAAAACAGTGCAAGAAATGCAAACAGCTAAAGGTAATACTGTAGAAAATAGTGTTCGTACCTCTACGGCGATAGCCGACAAATGAGATGCTGGCTCTCTCAATAGAAGGTCATCTGGCACATCCTCAGTGAAGTCGATGAAGGCCTTGATGCCTCCTGCAGTAGGCATTATATGAGTCTTAGGGTGGTACCTCACTGGATCGAAAGGGCGTATGCTCAGCGGTAATGGCTCCGGCTCGGCCTCAAAGTCTGCCTCAAACTCTACCGAAGGAAGCGTGGAGACAACCTCGTCATGTGGGATATCATCTGCCATCTGAAATAGATGCAAGGAAAGCAAAAATGAGGAAAAATGAAGAAAAAGGTGAAACTTTGAAAAAGTCAACCCTAAGAGAGAAGAAAAAGTCAAAGAAAGTCAGAGCCTGAAAAAGTGTACTAACCTTGGGAGAAACTTGAGGGGAATGAACCTAGAATGGTGGAAATAACGAAAAAAACGTCAAAATCCTAATTCTGATCGGTTCAAAGTGAAGAGAACTAGAGGGTTTTAGCGAAGAAAATGTTTTTAGGGTGTTGGAAAATGCGTAGAACGCGTGGATCTAGAGAGAAGGAGCACCTAGAGAGCAAGGGAGAAGAATTTCGTGCAAGGGTTTGTGAGGAAATGAAGTGCCATCACTTGTTTTTAATGACCCAAGTGTGAAAAGTCAAATTTGCCCCAATCTGCCATCGATGGCCGACAGTGGCACATCAATGGCCAGCACTTGTATATCGGTGGCCGGCAGTTCCTACCAATGGCCGGTAGGGGGCCAGCGGCCTCCCTTGATGGCTAGTAAGGGGCCAGCAGCCTCCCTTGATGGCCGACAGGCTTCCACAAGCTTCCTCTGCCTCTTTTTCTTTGATTTGTGTCCTTGGATTCCGATAAGTGCAAGGTATGCTCAGTGTTTGACTTAGAATGTCTTCACGGAAGCTCAGAATCGCATTTCCAATGCACGATGGTCATCGCTCATCAACACGAACAAGGTGTATCATTTTAGCATATTGCAACTCTTTCGAGAGGTAAATCGGAGGTTGCCTCTGAGTCGTCTTTAGCAAACATGCTTTTGTCGTTGCATAGAATGTGCATTGCCTTTATCGTTGCATGGAGCATACATTTTGAATTGTTGCATAGAGCATGCATTATCATGTTTGCATAGAGTATGCACGTTGCATTGATTATGCATCATTGATTATTTGCATAGAATATGCCTCTGTTTTGTTTCTTGCATGTTGTGCACAGAAGCATGCCTCTAACATTTGTGTTGCGATTATTCATCTTGCATGGAATATGCATTTGTATTGCATTGTACCTGTTCAGTTTCTTTCTTATGCAAGCACGATATTGTATGTACGGTTCATTCAGAGGAATTTTGGGTAAGATCATTCATGTCCTCTCCTTTGTTGGTTAGAAACATTCGGGCACGCCCGGTGTTTACATCGACACCCTACTAGTTAGAAGCATTCGGGTACGCCCGATGCTTACAACTCTCCTTCGTTGGTTAGAAACATTTAGGTACACTCGGTGTTTACACCGACACCTTGTGCTGGTTAGAAGTATTCGGGTACGCCCAATGCTTACACCTCTCCTTCATTGGTTAGAAACATTCGAGTATGTCCGGTGTTTACACCGACACCTTGTGCTAGTTAGAAGCATTCGGGTACGCCCGGTGCCTACACCTCACCTTCATTGGTTAGAGACATTCAAGTACGCCCGGTGTTTACACCGACACCTTATTTTGGTTAGAAACACTCGGGTACGCCTGGTGTTTACACCGACACCTTGTTGGTTAGAAGCATTGGGTTACGTGTCCGGTGTTTATACCATCCTCCCGGTTAGAAGCGTTTGGGATGTGTGTCCGACGCTTATACCACCCCGTTGGTTAGAAGAATTAGGTTGCGTGCCCGGCGTTTATACCACCCTCCCGGTTAGAAGCATTTAGGATGTGTGTCCGACGCTTATACCACCCCGTTAGTTAGAAACACTTGGGTACGCCCGATGTTTATACCACCCTCCCGGTTAGAAGCATTTGGGACATGTGTCCGACGTTTATACCACCCTTCTGGTTAAAAGCATTTGGATCGTGTGTCTGACGCTTATACCACCCTTCTGGTTAGAAGCGTTTGGAATGTGTTTCGACGCTTATACCTCTCTGTTTTGGTTAGAAACATTGGAACGTGTTCTGATGTTTATACGACCCTCCGGTGTTTGCATCACTCCATTTTCCCTCTCGTGCGTGGCGCGATAGGATGCTTTGGTTAAATGCATCTGGACGGATTCTGATGCTTATACCACTCATTGTTTTGGTTACATAATAGTTGAATGTGTTTCAATTGTTATTATGTGCTCTCTTTAGTTCAGAACCTTGGGGTGTGTCCCTGGGTTCATGCCATCTTGCTCCTCGCGTGTGCCACGCGTTGGGATCTTGTTTGCCGCCTCGGGTGCGCCCGACTGTAGACGCGCCCGCGGAGGGGGGCCTTATGCTACTACAGTTCGGACTCGCGATTTTATTGTCGCGGTTCTTAATCTGAACCAAAGAGTCCAAATCTGGCAAATCGTTTTGAGAAACAGATTTTTGAAAAAAGTAGTGCCAAACATGAACGACATGGCTTTTGGCAGATTACAGAGTCGCCACTAAATATTTTTAAATGGGGAATTTAGGAAAACCTGACTCAGTGCGAGGCACATGTCCGTCACAACCGGAGTTGTTTTCAGCTAGCGGAGCTAGGTACATCGGGGAGTCACTAGAGCACCCCCTTACCCCGTCCGAAGACCGCGGCTTTCTAACCCATGAATACGATTTTGAAACTTACGTGTTCTTTTCATTTTTACCTAGGAATTACTATTGTTATGTGCGCAGCAACAAGTTTATAGATTCAGATTGCCTAATTTGGAAATAAGCATGCTATCGTTTGTTTTTAAAGCGATTTGAGAAATTTGCTACTCGCAAGTAGACTAAAACACGGAATTGGGCATCCCCAGTGGATTTCCCCGCGCAAGCAGTCCGCAGGCAACATCATTCGTCAGAAGCCAGGCAGTACACCTGGCTTGCTAACGCCAAGTTTTACAGCTTTCTTAGTAATTTGATTAATTAATTAGGAAATTTGTATATTATTGGGACTGTAATATTCTTTTATTCGGGACTGTATATTTATTTGGACCCTCCGCCGAGGTCACAACTGTAATAAGTGTGGGCGTGTGTGTGTTGTATGCTTCCAACCCCATGTCTTTCTCCCTTTTAATGTTATCCGCTTAATGATGGTTAGCTTAGGGGGCATATTTCAATCAGCATACAGTATCGAATAGCATGTTTGCAATTCATCATCTGTTTACTGCACCGGGCTCCGGCCGCATCCCATACTAAACTGCATTGTATTCTTCAATTCACAAATTGAATACTGTTAGTGTAGCATCCTCATGCCATGTTTAGAATAGCCGAGCCTGCCTAGATTGATTTTTGCATGTGTATCATTAAAATTTCTGTAAAACTTAGGATTCATGCATGATTTGCTATAGTTTTGTTTTGGCTTGGAGGAGTACGTGAAGCTTTTTAAATGCTTTTTTAAAAAAGCAAATTTCCCTTGCATCGTGTGTGAATGTGCCATGATAGCATGCTAGCCAAGCAGGTAAGTGCTTATGTGATTAACATGTCTGTAATGCCTGTGGGTGAAGTTGGGTTGTTTAAGTTGGAACAAAACGAGAGTTTTTTAAGCCATGATATGTGGAAATCTTTTCTAAGCCATGTGAAATCTGAGTTCTAGCCTACTTGCGAGTAGCAAATTTCCAAATTTTTCAAAACAAACGGATAATGATGCTTATTTTCCAAATTAGGCATCAGTCTATACTTGTTTGCTGGCGCATACATAGTAATTCCTAGGCTAATAAGGAATAAGAACACGTAATGTTTTCAAAATGATATCATGGTTAGTAGAGGCCGTCTTCGACCGGGCGAAGGGGGTGCTCAAAGCTGACCTTCCCCATCGTACCCAAGTCCCGAGCGAGACAACTCGGTGATGACGACAGTGGCCTTGGGCACAAGTCGGGTTTCCTAAATTCCCATT